TCTTCTCCCCTTAGGAAGTGTGGGATGGATTGTTCATCGTGTGATGGACTAGAAGTGAAATCCGTCCCGGTTATGGTGCCTGCTCCACGGGGATGGGACTGGTGGGTGGAACCTGTACTCGCCAGGAGTAAGGGAGAAGGTTGAGCACAGGACCACGGAGCTCTCCTGGAGCCAGTCAGAATGCTCATCACACAGTATCTCAAAAGCAAGTCACTCTGTGAGGAGCATATGGAAAGACAAATGAGAGTGCGCTGCTTTCGGCAGTGTGAAGTGCCCGAGTTGGGTTGAAGCAATTCCTATTTGGGTGACAATTTGTAAAGGCTTAACGCTTTTCACCAGGCTAACCTCCAGCTTTTGCAGAATACCCTATTCCAGTCCTCACTCTGCCAAAATATAGTTTAGATTCCAACAGATTTACAGACCTATTCATGGAGTACTTTTTATTCAGTGTCGATACATCGTTGAGAAAAGATAGCCGTAGTATTTTTTTCAATGTTAATATTTAGAACTGGGGAATCCCCACCCCTATGATGGTGGTGTGACTTTTTAGTGCACTTGTTGTTGCCAAACAAATGGTATCAATTAGTTTCCTTTTCTTCTTAAGAAAGGAAGTGTTGTACTATATGTAGTATTTGTAAGATCTTAAAAATTACAAAGGCATTATAAAATAACTATTATATGTATGTCTTAAGAGCTGGACAGGTATGGTTCCTTTTTTCAGAGATGTATTATTCATTTACATTGCATCTAACTATCCTACGGGAACACATCCATACTGTGAAATGGGCTTATTTTAAAGCATTTCTAACGGGTATAACATTTCTAATTGGTATAACGAATAACTAACAACAAATCGGATGCCACTGTTTCTTGTAAGACAATTTCAACTGTACTTTGGTTGCTCTGAATGTGTTACTTCCTCTGCTGCAATTGATTAAATAATTATGTTTATGGGCAGTGTCAAATGAAACAGAAGTCTTCAAAATGCATTCACCTGTTTGAGGAATTACACCGTGTCCCAGACTGCATTCACTGAGGTGGAAGGCGCAGATCAGACTTCAGTCTGTGCAAATTGTTAGACAGATGAGACTGTATTTGTGCAAGTGAAATTATGCAAGAATAAACACTGTTGGTTTTTTTTTATTATTTTAAGTTTAACAGCCTATTGTGATGTTCTTAGAAGCACTGAAGAAGAGTGATATGGTCTCAAAAACATTAAATGCATCTTCAGATTGGTATTTTTGACAATAGGACTAGAAGGTCCTTCTCTGACCTGCCCCCTCCTTTTGCTAATAATTACTGCATCTGGCCAGCTGCCCTGAGGTCAATATCCTCAATATCCCATTAAACAGAAGTAGGCACACACAGCCTTGTAATTACAACACCAATGTAACATGAGGTCGCTGTGAATCAGTGTCCTACACTGAATGTTTTTATATGTAGTTTTAAGATATGAACATCTTAACCTCTCACTAACAAGCTTTTGGAGGCCTCATCATCTTTCTCCCACTGCTGTACACTAGAATCAATACTCTAAAACAGCTGTTCAAGAAGAATAATTTTATTGTTTCCATGTGACAGGTTTCACTGTGAACAAAGAGGACAGCTTGCTAGACAGTCTCTTTCATTATTTTGGTCAGTTTCTGGATCTTTGACCTTGTTGACATATCCACGTATTTCTCCCCAATATTGACAATCATTCCACCAAGGACTGAGGGATCAGTCTAGAAGAAAGGTCGAACAGAAACTCCATTAGCAAAAACTTCTTACCCTAATATACTTTTTTTTTTTTTTTTAAGTGTAAACAGCTTTAAAAGACCCTTCTTTAAGATAATTTTGCAGACACTGTATTTCAAAGTTAAGATTTCAGTAATTGAAGCATCAGGTGTACAAGAAAACACAGAAGTATATTATATAGCTACTGAATTCAACCAAATGAAGAATATACATAAGTGTCCTACAGTTTCTCTTTCATTTATTTTTTGTAAAGCTGAGAGAGAGTGCAAGAATAGCTTGGTATTAAGTGTATTTACAAATCAAAATGTCCTACCTTGGTCTCCAGCTTCAAGACCTCTCCTTTAGCCAAGAATCCATTCAGAGCACTCTTTAGCTCAGTAAGGCTGGCATCATCCAAGGGCTGAAAAAATTTGCACAGAACATAATGAAAACAAAATGAATAAAAAATTCAAAGGGTATAATGAGAACACTTCAGACTCCATTAAAGAAAGACACTCTCAGGAAGGCAGAGGAAGCAGCCTTCTTGGATAGCAATAACCAAATGACAGCACAGAAACAGCAGCATTTGGTGCTCCTTTAATTTCATGTGTGCTACCTGCATACATATTCCCAGCAAATGCTTGGTGTTAATATCTTCGGAAAGCAAGCATCAAGAATCCTGACTTGCTAAACTAAGCACTCAACACAAGACCCTCACATCTGTTTCAAAGCAGCATTTAGCCTCTATGAGGAGAGATTGATTTTGCTGCTTCTCACAGTTCAGATTATAAGCTTAAGAAAAAACAGTTTCATGCGAAGCATGGGACAGGGACTCAAGATGCTGCAACACAGCTGCGTGGGCTCAGCCAAGTACACCTCTCTCCATCACCATAGAGGAACTCTGCATCCCTGGGGGAGAGGCACCATGAACCTGCCCTCGCTTTCCCTATGAGTTGTTCAGATATTACTGCAACAGAAAAGAGACACCACAAAAGAATAGTGCTTCTAGTGTAACTAGCAATAACAACTCCTATTTAATGGCTAACACTTGAGAGCCAAAAGAAACCAACTACCATTAACAAAAGAGGCATTAGAAATTATGAATTATTACTATATCACACTTAGGAATTATTTGGGAAAACTTGGAAAAAGTTTTGCAGTTGTGAACTCCTATGTCCCTCAAAGCTATCAGTTACAGTCTGTGCCTGGGGCCTATAAAGAGCCTGTCACACCCAAATGGACAAGGCTTTTTATTCAGTCCAGGCTGGAAGCTCATTTTAGCCCCACCCAAGGGGCTAATATGTTATGTTATATATACAGCAGGCAAGCTTCCCACTCTACCAGGCCTGGGCATGGATCAATCCCCACGCAAACTACTGAAATGCCAGAAATCACATATCCAGCTTGAAGTTTACTGCTTCACAGAACGGTCTGGGTTTTAAGGGACGTTCAAGATCATCTAGTTCCAACCCCTGCTGTGGGCAGGGCTGCCTCCCACCAGCTCCAGCTGCCCAGGGCCCCATCCAACCTGGCCTTGAACGTCTCCAGGGATGGGGCACCACAGCTTCTATGGGCAGCTGTGCCAGCACCTCACTGCTCTCTGAGAAAAAGAATTTCTTCCTGACATCCAATCTAAATCTCTCCTCTTTTAGTTTAAAGCCATTCCCCCCCCTTGTGCTGTTACAACCTGCCTTTGAGCATACAGAGACATTATCTTTGATCTCACCTCAGAGATCTGCCTCGCCACAGCTAAGAGCTGGTCTGTTAGCTCTAGCCTGATCAGTATGATTTTAATGACAAAAATAAAAGCAGAGCCAGTTTTATCTGCAGACCCAGCTGACTTTCATCAGCCCCCTGGGTTCACAAATAGAAAAACAGGTATAATTACTAAATAATGATTTCTGTACATTGGAGTGTTTTGTAGAGGTGAAATTTTTCTTCATTCCTCATGCAGCAAGCTGCTCACACTATAGCTATAGAAGTTTGCCTTTCATGCCCGTACCTATTAAACTCAACCCTGACATTCCTAACCCACCTGTGCAGTGGTGACTGTGCACAGCACTTCTCCTCGGAATGCACTCATGATCTTCCCAAAAGCAGAAACAATGCCAGGAGTGTAGCGCAAGCGACCATTTTCAGCAAGCAGGTCTGGAAGACACAGATGGATCAGAAGGGTTTTGCACACCCACTAGAAGCAAATTCGGTTAGCAACAACTAATCACAAGCAGCATCAGATATTTTTCAAAATGTAAGTGATTACTCACTCATCAGGTTGATGGTAATAGGGGACATCTTCTCTTTTGCTAAAACGTCATTTACAGCTTTCTGTTTAACTGTGCCCTTGGTGTGAGGGTTCATAATAATGCTGGACAGCTTGGGGTCCTTCAAAAGAGTCTAAGAGAACACACAAGCAACGCTGTAAAGACCTCGAGTTTCCCAGGCCTACGTAGGCAACGAAGTCACCCGTTGAGCAAGGACAGAGGACAGGAGAGAGCAGATAGGAAGTGAAATGGCAGCTCCAGGTGGAGCTCATAGAGAGGATGCTCCTTTTAGAGCCGCTGCTCCTTCAAACAGCTCACCAGACGCCGGAGGGGCACTAGGGGCAGAGTGCAGAGCGCAGGCAGGCCTGACACGTCTCACAGCACGCAGGAGCGTCCTAAGAGCAGCAGGCGGACCGCGGCCACCAGCCCCTGCGTGACCTCAGGCCGAGACCCGCTCGGGAAGCTTACCCACACTCGGCCCAGCTCCTTCTCCACCTGCTCCAGCTTCTTCTGCTTTGTGGCGGCGGAATACAGCGCGGTGGCGTAGCGGCCCTCCAGCCCGTACACCTGGATGGGCGGCTGCGGGACAGACGGCGCCTGAGCGCGGCCCCGAGCGGGAAGCCGGCCCCAAAGCCAAACCCCTCGGCCCCGCTCACCTTCACCAGCTTGGAGACCGGCCGAGCCGCCGACGTGCTCAGCTGCCGCACCTGCGGGACACACAGCGGCTGTCCAACCCCCTCGGGAAGGAGGCGACGGCCAGCCGCAACGCGCCGCGTCCCCTCTCCCCCCGGCCCCGCTTCACCTTCAGGGTGAACCCCGCCGCCGCCATTTTCTCCCACCGCCGCTCGAGGTCACCGCTGCGCCCGGGCCCGGCGGGGAGGCAGTGCGCAGGCGCGGCTGTAGGCTCCGCCCCCTCCCACCGCGCGGGGCATGCTGGGACGTGTAGTTCCCCGGCGCGGGCGGGGCTTCCTCCGGAAGGCGGTGGAACCGCAGTAGGCCCGTTAGGCCCAGAGCCCTTTCCCGCCTCCTGGAGTTGGTACAACAGCGCGTCCCTGCCCTCAGCTGCTTCACACACGTTCTCCAAGGGAGATCTTGGCTGCGCGTCCCTCGAGGATATTTCCGTCCTCTAGGGGGGTGAAACCACCCCTGAAATACAACGAGCTGTTGTCTCCCCCTCCGATAAACGGGGCCAGGCGTCTGCTAGGACACAGAGAGACGGCCCTGCAGGTGGAGCGCGGGGCAGGCGGGAGCTCAGCCTTCAGCTCCACCTGTGCCAGAGTCCTCTGCCCGACCTTGAGCTGCTCGCTCGGGTCACGCGTGCTGCTGAATTGCTGGACGCGCTGCGTTGCGCCAACGGCAAGCGTGCTGCAACCGTGCAGGGCAGGCTCCAGACGCTAGATGTTGCTGTTGCTACGGATTGGAAAATTAGTGCTCGCTTCAGCTGTGTCATAACCAGGGAATTAGAGCGGCACCCTTCAGGAAATACGGTCTGAACAAGAAAGATTGTCTAGCATCCCATTAGAAGTAAGGCAATGTCATCAATATGCTTTATTCTGGATGCTGGAATGGAGCTCCTTCAGCTGTCTGCAGCTTATTTGCTATGGGGACATTTAGTTTAGATGTCAGTGGGAAATTTTTTCACTGAGAGGACGGTGTGGTGCTGGCACTGCTGCCCAGAGAAGCTGTGGTGCCCCATCCTGGAGGCACTCAAGGCCAGGTTGGATAGAATCACAGAATAATTAAGGTTAGAAAAGACCCCTAAGATCACCCAGTCCAACCATCAGCCCACCCCCACCATGTCCACTGCCCACGTCCCTCAGTGCCACATCCACACGGCTCTTGAACACCTCCAGGGATGGTGACTGCACCACCTCCCTGGGCAGCCTGTGCCACTGCCTCCCTGCTCTTGCTCAGAAGAAATTGTTCCTAATACCCCACCTGAACCTCTCCTATTACAGCTTGAGTCCATCATCTCTTACCCTGTCACTGTTACCTCAAAGAAGAAACTGATCCCTATCTCTCCAGAGCCTCCTTTCAGGTAGTTGTAGAGAGTGATGAGGTCCCTCCTGAGCCTCCTCTGCTCCAGACTGAGCAACTTCAGTTCCCTCAACTTCTCCCTATCAGACTTGGGCTCCAGACCCTTCACAGCTTCATTACACTTCTCTGGACACATTCCAGGACCTCGATGTCTGTCTTGTAGTAAGGGCCCCCAAACTGAGCACAGTACTTGAGGTGCAGTCTTACCAGTCCCATACTTGTTTTAAGCCCCATGTCCAAAATGTTATTATAGTAACTCTAGAACATTTTATGATCTTTTAGCACTCTATGATCTTTTAACCACTATCCATCATATTTTTAGAAGCCGTGGCAGTCCAGTGAAGCTGTCACCAACTGGAATTCTGAAGAAGGGAAAAATAAGGAAGGCCCTGGAGAAGTGCAGACAAGTCAGTCTCTCCTCTGTGCCTGTTAGGATTATAGAGCAGAACCTGGAAACTATATTAAGGCACGTGGAAAATAAGGAGGTGACAGCCACTACAGCATCAGTAAGGCTAAATTGTACCTGAAAAATTTGGTGGCCTTCTGCAATGGGGTTACAACACTGGTGGATGAGAGCAATTGAGGTCATTTACCCAGACACATGCAAAGTGTTTGACACTGTCCCACATGACATTCCTGTCTCTAAATTGGAGAGACATAAATTTGATGGATGGACCACTCAGTGGATAAAGAATTGGATGGATGGTTGTGCTCAAAGTGTTGTGTTCACTGTCCAGGTGGAGACCAGTGATTAATAACATGCCTCATGGGTTGGTTGGGACCAGCACTGTTTAAAATCCTTGTTGGCAAGGATGAACGGTGTGATTGAACACACCCTCAGCATGTTTGCTGATGACACCAAGTTGTGTGACACGGTTGGCACACTGGAGGGAAGGGATGCCATCCATAGGGACCTTGACAGGCTTGAGGTGGGCCTGTGCAAACTTCATGGAGTTCAACAAGGCCAAGTGCAAGGTCTTGCCCCTGGCTCAGGGCAATATCAGGGACAAGAACAGGCTGGGCGGAGAATGGATTGAGTGCAGCCCTGAGGAGAAGGTCTTGGAGATGCTTGTTGATGAGTAGCTCAGCATGACCCAGCAGTGTGCTTTTACAGCCCAGAAAGCCAATCATAACCTGGGCTGCATGGCCAGCAGGTCGAGGGAGGAGGTTCTCCTCCTCTACTTTTCCCTTGGGGACTTCACCTGCATCTCACTTTTGGGTCCCCAATATAAAAAGGACTTGGATCTGCTGGAGTAGGTCCAGAGAAGGATGATCAGAGAACTGGAGCACCTCTCTTAGGAGGTGAGACTGAGAGAGCTGAAGTTGTTCAACCTAGAGAATAGAAGGCTCCAGGGAGACCATATAGCAGCCTTCCAGTACCTAAGGGGGCCTACAGGAAAGCTGGAGAGGGACTTTATTAGGGAGTGTAGTGGTAAGTCAAGGGACAATGGCTTTAAACTGAAAGAAGGTAGATGTAGATTGGATGCAAACAAGAAATTCTTCATAGTCAGGGTGGTGAGGCACTGGCACAGGCTGCCCAGAGAAATTGTTGCTGCCTCATCCCTGTAGGTGTTCAAGACAAGGTTGGACGGAGCTTCGAGCAATGTAGTCAAAGCAACACAGAGGCTGAGGGATTGGAACTAGGTGATCTTTAAGGTCTCTTCCAACCCAAATCATTCTGTGATTCTACAATTCTGTGGTAATATGTCTTATTGAGGCCTCTAGAAAGGATTTGAACTCCTTGCAGTGCCAGGCCCTCATCATTTGGCATTCACCTCTATCTGTCACTTCAGTTTGTTGATGTAGGTCCTATACCAGTTGAGCACTTAAGCACTTACTCTGTTTATAAGCTCTTCCACAAGAAACACCTGGAAGAACATCCACTTATGGGTCTGCCAGTTTATGTGGAGGGTCAGTGCTTGAAGCATTGTAACCTTAGAGTAACCATTCTTAGTAAACATAGCAATGCTACAAACAACACATTTTTTTCTCCTATTGAGACAGACCAGTACTGAAATCCTGCAAAATATATTCTACTTCTATTTGAGAAATCTTCAAAATAATTGGTCTAAGTTTAGGTTTATTTAATCAGACCCTTGTGCTTAGTGAAGACGTGGACTTCACACCAGCATAACATCCACAGATCCTACAGTAATCAGCACTTTTATGTTTCTAGAAAGAATGTGATGATTCTTCATTATTATTCTACCACAGTGGCAGTGGGGATGTGTTTCAACCAGGGCACAGCTGCATGAAGTCTCATAAAATTCATAGTAAGACATAGACCATTCCACAGAGAGCTTGCAGCACGTAGTGTTAAAATGAGATTAAACTTGTAATAGCACATCTGGTGTTCTCACAATGATGAGACCATATCTGTTTTCTTTCAAAAAATATGCCAAACTTACCCTCCACCATGCTATGGCCAACTCCTTAAAAAAAAATCAACAACACAATAAAACCTCCAAAAAGTAAATGAGTGTGTCAAATCTTAAAAAGGAAGGTGGAATGCAGTAAGTACTTCACTCCCTTACCTTTCAACTCACCTGAAACATTAGCTTTCAGCCTGTTTTGAGCACTCCTCTGCACCTGCTAGTCAGCAATTGCACCCAGCTGTTTTCCTTTGGCTGTGCCTAGGATTCCCACACTCAGCAGCATGGGAAGGTCCCAGAACAACTAGGGTGTAGCTGCAAACAAGTTCCTGACCTCTGTAAAAAGTTTATGTTATTTACAAGAAACCGAGGAGGCTTTCATTCACAGTGTTCCTTAGGTTCAGGGAATGTGGTACAGAAAAGCTATGACCCACCTCACCTCCCCATTTCTACTGTGGTTTTGTTCCTGCAGCTGTCTGAAGGAAGTGGTGTTTTTTTCTTTCCCAGGGGCTGCCCTTTTCATCCTTGGAAGCAGTTGGTACTCTTGCTGAATCTAATTCACCTGGCTGTTTTCCAGACCTCTGCTCTGTGAGCTGTTCTGCTTGGGCAGGTAAGTTCAAGTGCTCTGTCACAAGAACTCCTTGGGGACTAACCCTTTACAGCTAGAGTGACCCACCTGCTAAAACCTAGCTGTCTAGGGAAGACCTGACTCATTTTCCTGTTAAAAAAAAAAAAGTGTTTTTCAGCAGTCTTATTTATTTATTTATTTTTCCTCCAAACCAGCAAGAATGACTGTAGAACCACAACCACTGTTAGGGGAATACAGAATAGGAGTTGCAGCCCTATTAATTGAGTTAGGATGCTAAACTCGCTGACCTTAGCATCCAAGCACTGTACTGAAAGTTCTTTGTAGGGTTATCTGGAGAACCGAGCACCTGTGCCTACATTTTCCTACCCTCCAAAGGAGTTTTCAAACTACCGTATAGTGTATATGATAAAATGATAAATCATTATGATTTATTGTACCATGAGCATCCCAGAAATATTGTGTAACTAGTGTATTTTCTGAGCTACCATAGTAATTTCTTGTAAAAGGGAAAATAAGTCACAATTAAGTACTTGCAGCTTCACTGATAAAATATCTCCTTTGTGCATCCTCAAGGATAGTCTAATAAGCCTGAAAAATTTATTTAAGGGCAAACTCTTATGTGATTTTAATAGACTAGAAAATAAACACTAATCAAGAACACCTTCTACTGGAAAAGGTGATGAGAACTTGCTTGAATATTTGGCCATTTTAGAGGATGTCCACAAAATATCAGTGGTAATAAGAGCTTCTTTCAGAAAGTATGCAAATAATGGACGTGGTTTGGTGCAGGCATTGCTAACAGATGAGCTTTGCTATCTCACATGCTGGCAGAGTAGCAGCAAGAACTTTGCACTGACACTCTGGAGAGCTGGGATCTATTTTCAGCTTTGCTTTGGGCCTACTGATTGGCTTCTAATTATTCTGTGCCTCAGTTCTTCCATCTACAAAAAGAAAGAAAGAGACCAACACTCTTTACAAATAACTATAAATTCTGTCGATGAAACATGCTTTATTAATAGCAGTGATACCTTCTCACTCATGCTGCTGTTAATAAAGTAGTTGTAAATTCACAAATATCAAATTATGATAATGTGCAAGGGGCTATGGAGAAAATAAGGAGAACCTCCATGCCTATTCCATCACTGCTGGGGAAAATGGGATATTACCTCTCATCCCACTTTTGGAGTCAGAATGGCCACGTATGCAGGGAATGAGAGATGCTGGTCTGTTTCCTCGGGGTCTGTCACAGAAATGACTGCTAAACTGTAAGTCTCAGCAGGGACCATTGAATAGGCCTAGAACACGAGCCACTCTCTCAGCCAGCTAGCGCTTTAGCTAACTCTCTTCCAAGATTAAACGTGTGCCTTCAAGTGGAAAATGTCTCTTCGTTCAGTTGGGCTAGATACTGGCTTGAGTCATACCAGGGTAAGCCTTTGAAATGTTCACATCAGTGGTATTTCTACAGACCTGAGATCCCAACCTGCCCCCTGCTTGCCATGTGTAGGTCTTTATATCTGCCTTGAACTGAAATTAGGTGTCCAGGATGCAAGGGTCTTGCTGAATGAACACATTGCAGCATTTTGTATTAGACAGACGCCTCAGCAGATTTTAGTTACGTATTAGAACTACAACTTGCTCGTTGCCACAAGAGGGAAGCCAATACTAATAATATAACTGTATTCGTTTATTAACTATGGTTAATGTGGCAAGATTTTTATCCATTTCAAGGCTGTTGCGTGCCTCCTTCTCTTTCCTTTTAGCAAACTTGCGTTTGATCATATGTCAGCAACTAAAGAACATTATTCTACATTCCATTTGCTCAATGCCCTGTGAAATGAATTTCATGGATTTGTCTCTCTCGTTTGAACAGCGCATACATAAACCTGAAACAGAAAGTAGGGGCAAAACTGAGCTGTTTGTTTTCATAGCAAACTTAAACAGTCCACTTACTTGCAAGGGAAAATTTTGCGGGCATGGCAGCTGGTAAAATAAAGAAGGTATTTTCCCTTATTTGGCTGAATATTAATTTAAACTAGATATTAGGAAGAAATTCTTTACTGTGAGGATGGTGAGACATTGGAACACGTATCCCAGCAAGGCTGTGGATGCCCCCTCCCTCTCTGGAAGCACTCGAGACCAGGCTGGATGGGGCTTTGAGCAACCTGTTCTAGAGGTATCTGTCCCTGCCTATAGCAGGGGGTTGGAACTAGGTGATCTTAAAGGTTCCTTCCAACCCAAACCATTCTATGATTCCATGATTCTATGAATGTGAAAAATTAAAGAGTATTTGACAAATCATAGTCATCATTACTACAGAGCAAGAACTACTCAAAATAGTTGCAACTGAATTCAGTAAGCCTGCTGACTCTTGTTCTTTAGCTTGTTCTGCAACGTATGAGAGCACCTTCTTTATAGATTCATTTATTATGTCAGACCTGATCTCATTTACTGTGCTGCAAACCAGAGTAACTGCTGATTTCAGGAACTTCACTGAATCACTTATCTTGTGGTATGTTATCTGTGAAAGTCACCCTTATTTAGATCACATGCTGAAGGCTTAAATCTAATAGGTCAAGATTTGTTATTACATTTCATCCTGCATCCAGGCATTAAATTATATGCACAGACTTTTCAGAAAGGTCTTCAGAAACTGGTGAAAGCAGTGCTTTTATATATAGGAATTTAAAAAACTGTTTGGGTGTAAAACAGAAACTGAACAGGGATTCATCAGCCACATTTCTTCAGCTAGTATTTTCCTGCAGCAAGATGCATATACATGAGAGTGACTGTTCAGAAGATTTCTGTGAAGCATTACTGTCATATGACAATCATTAGAGATCATAATTCTCGGTATTTGGAAGTCATAATTTGGCTCATGTATTTTTTTTTCTGGAGGCACAGCAGAAACACAAAGCCAGAAGCAGTGCAGAAAAACACATATGTTGAGGCTTCCTACGAAGCCCCCTAGGGTGTTCCCTGCAAGTGCAGGAGAAGGAATCGGGGCAAGGTTATGGAAGTCACAGACATAAATTGCAGTCCCCAAAGGGCCTTTGCATAACTAGCTTCTTTGTTAACTTTTTTTTTTTTTTTTAATACTTTAGGAACATTTAATGATATTTGGGGTATTTTCTTCTCTTTCCCTCTTCCTTCAGAGCAGTCATATCTTAAATTTTTTTTTTCCTCAAGGTACTGCTGTCTCACAGCAAATTGTTAAGCAGCCAGAAATATTACTGTCCCCCAAGTGGACAGACACCTCTCACAGACCCTTCCAGAGCATTGTTTCTCAGGTATTCTCACCCTGCTTCTGTTTTTCCTTCGCCTCTGGTGCTGTTTCAGTCCCCAACCCTGCATGTATATATGCAGGTGTTTTTTTTATGGATGTGAGCAATCACACTGCCTCCAGTGAGAATATTCACATGACCAAAATCATGCACTTGCATAGGGATTTCCTGAATCAAGGGCATAAAAGGAAATGGCCAGGTTAATAACGGGCTGGTTTTATCCCTGATGTAATGTCATTGACACCAGTGGAATTATACAAGGCTGAAATAGATCCAGTACGTCCAAACAGGGAACTACCTCCGGCTTCCTCGCCTGCCACTTTCTGTATTGATGGTGTAACCAAAGTCAGTCCTCCTTTCTCCAGGTTTGGGCAACTGAGGCTGAGGGAATTCAGACCACTTTGCACCAGCAAGAGCTGCTCTCCTCTAGCACAGCATCTCCTGAGATATCAGGTGTGCTTGCCCTGCAGAGCTAACAGACATATGCTTGTGGAGCTTCACTCACACATCCTCATTGCCACACTGAAGCAGCTCTCACCTGTCCTGCCACTTCACTGCTCCTAGCTGATGCTGAGCCATTCTGTGGCCTTAGCAGGAGCTGCTGGTCTTGGGGCAAGAGCTCTTGCCCTGCTTTTCTCAGTTGGTGTCTGGTTGTTCCGCTATGTGTTCTTCTCTTGCAGCAGTGCTTTTTTGGTCTTTGTGGGTAGTAAGTGCTCCAGTTGAATATTCACACTTGAAAACAGCTGGTGTGTAAACATGAAGATGATATATCTGTATAAAAGGTTTGTTAGGCTTAGAAGAATACTCTCTTAAAAAATGTTCCTCTCTCCCTTCTGTGGCTGTCCTTCCCTTTATCTGTGGAATGTTTGGGACCTCCAACCCTCATTGCTGTGAAGCTCTGATTTGGCAGCTCTGTGAACTTGCCCTCAGCTAGACTTCAGTGTGGTTCAGCATCGTTTCTTCTGGTCTACAAAAGCATGTTCCCTACCTGCCTGCTCATGCAAATACTCCCTAACATGGGATGGACCTCCAAATTTCCAAAATTATGGAGCCAGGAGAGGGAGGAATAGGGGAAAAAAACAGCGCTAAAACACCCTCCAGCATCCAGGGCTCATGACTGCTTTGACAAGATCTATCTTTAGTTATAATAGTGAGTCACATCATTGTGATTTGACTTTACGGTTAGTTTGAGGTATGAGCCAGGCCATGGGATTGAGAGCGAGAGCATCACGGGATGCAGCTGTAAAATTCCACTACTCTGTAGATCAGGTTTGAAGAGCATTAAGAAACAGGAAGCAGACAGGGGAGGGTGGGTTTTTGTGTGCGTGGGTTTTTTTTGTTCTGTTTTGCTTCTTTTTTTTTCAGCGGAAAATGATCGCAGTGCCCGCTGCATTGTGATGTTGAGCAGCACAGGGAGCGGAACGGAGGGCGTGTATCGGTAGGCTGCTGTAATATTCCTGAGCTGAGCATTTCTCTTTCCACACTGCTCCGTGTGCCAAGTGTCACGTCCAGCCCGCCCCACCAGCCACCACAAGCTGATGCAGGATTTTCGTGGATGGTGCCGTGTTGCTTAGCAACCTTGCTAGGCAGCATGCTATACATCACGCACGGCGCCGGCTACTACGGTACGGTGAGGTTGCTTCCAGTTCTTTTTATCGGCTATGAAATATTAATTTTCTTCTGGCAGGTAGTGTTGGCACCAGGAGATTGAGGGGTGCTCCCTCCCAGGTGGACGCGTGCTGCTCCGTAACAGGAATCGCAGGCAACCCCGGGCAGAGCTCCTGGGATGTGAAATGTGGGCATGATTCCTGAGATATAAACACCTTCTGTGCCTGAGATGGGCTACAGGTTGGCTTTAGCACAAAGAAATTAATAAATAACCAGGTGGTGAAGATTATGTGACAGACATAATAATGTAAGTACAATGTATTCCCCCTCCTTTTTTTTCTATGACTCATATAAGCAAATCCTGATGTGAGGAGCACATGTTTGCGTACACAAAGAGAAGGAAATTTCCTCGACATTTGGGGATTTTTTATTTTTATTTTTATTTTTTTTTTTGAGGCTCCTGCACTCCAGGGCATTGTGGATGAGAACCCATATCACAAACACCAGTGACAGTTTTCTAGATTGATGGGTGTAATTGCAGTGGAGACTGCTTGCCAAGCCCCCTCCCTGAAATGATTGCATAACCCAGCTGTTGCATGTGTGGGAAAAAAAAAAAAAGAAAAGAAAAGAAAAAGGGAGGAAACCAATCCTATTCTATATGAAGCTGAATTGTTATTGCAGAAGGTAAACAGCAAGGAGCCTAGTCCCCAGAGCAGCAGAGGAGATGGTATCTACAGCTCATTTCAGGTATGCAGAGACTGAATCAGGAGCTGTCTCATTCGAGGTCAAAAGAGCCATCTGCAAAGAGTCTACCCAGAACAGGGCTTCCATAGTTCTGAAATCTCTGGATCTACAATGCTCATTTTTTGGACATATTGTTACTTGTAATGTTACTGGGTGGCAAGAAGGGAAGGATGCAAAAGAGTGGATAAAAGGCAGTAGATCATTTTTGGCACCTGAATACCATGTTTTTCTACTGAACATCTGCAGACAGACACACTGTTTAAGCCAAAGTGAAGAGGGAAGCAAGAGGGGAAAACCACAGTGTCAAAATACACAACGGCTTGTGAGATGAACCGCTGCATTGCCCCTCATCTACACTTGCAGATATGGCAGCACTGGTGGAGTCAGCAAAACCATGCTTTGTCCTCCAATTACTTGTAAGAGACCAGAAATATAGATTTAGTTTAACTTACTTTGTTGCAGGCATACCTTGCTGCATTTTGTGGTGGGTGGTGGGATCAGACAAATCAGACTGCTCTACAATAGAGCACATGCTTCACACTGTAGATCTCACAGGACTTCAGTACAGAAATCGTTCTCAAGGTGTTCAGTGATGTTTGTCCAACAAAAGAACAAAGACAGCAACAGAGCTTTCATCTCATGCTTTTTACCAAATCATGGCAGTCTGAAGTGAATTCATTGTCCATGGTTCAGCTCCTCTGTTGGGCTCCTCAGCCTGTGTATGTAAGGCCAGTTTAATCCTAGGAGAAGATGCTCAGAAATTGTACTGAGAGGAGTATCTGGATGTAACACTTTGGAGTAAGAGCTACTACTACAGGAAAGTAAAATGCCTCCCTTCCACAGCTATGCTACAGGCCTGTCCTGGTTTTGCTGCCATTTCTGTTGATGAAAAAAAAATTGAGTTTTTATTATCTTTTTTTTTTTTTCCTAACTGAAGAAATTTAATTGGAATTGGAATTGCCCAGTTATATTACTTTTTTTTTAAAACAAAAGATTTCTTCTATAAAATTTGACAAATATTGACAGTAGTCACAGTAAAATTTAAGGTGTATGTAAAATTTGCAGATTTTCACCATCCGTTTGCACATCTTTCTGTCACTTCAGAAAGCTTCTCAACTTAAACACTTGACAACTGACAGAGCTGTTAAACTTTTAGTGAATGAGGACCAAGTAAATAACTGCAAGGCCTGTAACTGCGTGCATTTACAGAGTTGAATTGTGCTGGATGGACACCAGTGACTGATGGAGGGATGCTGGACCCAGCCCATATCTAGGACAGCGAGCGTGCCGTGCCTGGTTCCTGCCAACAGTAGAACTTCAGCAGTAGAAAGGTACTAGGAGCATAAATGTCATTTATACCTGCTACAAGATCTCTGCGGGGTGATAATACAAATGACAACCTGTCTCAGCCCTTCCCGAGGGCTGAGAGTTATCATGGCAAAAGTTAGAAGATAAATTACATCTTACAACAAAACAGACTCGAATACAACACATGCAAGCATCTCAGTCTGTGCAGAAAGCAGAGTGTTATGCTGGGCAGAGGTAAAAATAAGCAAGCTAATCTCAAATGACATTGGAAAAGAAAATAGCTGAAGGACTTTTCCTCTCTGTGAGTTTCACAGTAAATACCACTCCGTTTTCGGTATCATTAACATTTTATTATTATGACTACTATTAAACAGCAGCCCTGCCTACTTTTGCCTGTATTTTCTGGGCATGTCTCAGCATTTTACAAGTTAGAGGTTGTGCTAGCAATTGGAAATATTGTATCATCATTTCATTACCACCTGGCTTGGAGAGAAGATCACCCAGTAATTGGGTTTTGTAGGCATCCACTGAGATAAAGAAAGGGAGGAGGCTGCTACAAACTCTTCTGTAGTCACTATGAAAGTACGTTTGTTTTCTTAAAGAAGAAGCAACGCTTCTTTAAATTGATCATAACGCCTTTGGTTTTTCCCTTTCTTCTATTGATTTGCAAGAAATAGGGTTGGTTGGATTGTTTCATGCCACAAGAGATATCAGTCCTCTTTCTTTCCAAATGACTCAGAGTCAATGTAGCCTGAAAAACAGCTCTAACAAAACAAGCTCTTTGTAGATAAACCCACAAGAACAAAATCCAGTGAAGTCTCCTCCAAAAACTGTTTGCATATTTCCCTTTCCTTTACATGTATATTTACTGGTATGCTTAAGAAACATCATGAAGTCTTACTCGGAAACTCTTACATAAAGATGAGAATGGGAACGTGATATGTCAGAGAGGTTACATTTCACCTACTTTGCCTGGAAGAGCTCTTACAATAACTATAATTGGAAACAAAAGTGAAAAACAGCACTTAATAAAAATTACACAGAATGAGATATGATGTGCATGTGTTTGTGTGGGCACTAGTCTCCTTGACTATCTTCAGTACTTTAAAAAAACAGTACAAAATTATGATCCAAACCCCTAAGAATGGATAAATAAAAGAATGAGATGAGACTATTAACTTGCCTTCTCTGCACATGTGTTTCAGAACAAGCTTTTAATTAACCATCATTTGCTACCTTGTTAATGGAACGCCCTCCTCATCTAGGTGGTAACCACTGAATAATGTTTGAGATACCTGCGTGCTGGGTGGCAAACATAACAGAAATGTCTCTAGGAAGCCTACCTGTGAAGGACTGGAACCATATACACAAAGTATAATGCAGAACTCAACTAAGTAATGAAGTTGAAAAGAAGAAGTCCAGTTCTTAAACTCGGTGCACTGAGTGCTTAATGTTCTTAGTTGAAAGAATATCTGACCTTGCAATAAAAAGATGTGATAAAGTGAATGCACTGAAAGGATAATTAAACCTATTCAGACCATCATGATCATTTCATCAAACTTCCTGCAAAATTCAGACCATCAGTCCTTAGTCTACAATTCAGATTTCCAGCCTTGAACTAATCTTTGGGCTATAATATGTGTGACTGCTGAGATGGTATTAATTTGGTGTTGAAACACTGCTTGCATTTTGGCTTGCACTATTGATGTGATATTACAGTGTAGACATCCCAGGTTTGCCTATCGACATATGCACAAAGGCTTTCTGTGCAAAGTTTTATTTTAAATGTTGCTGAAGAAGTCTCACTTCACATTTATGCTTATTTTTGTTTATATCTACTTCTATTTATATATATTTTATGTTTTATTTAAATATTTATGTTTATATATCAAATTGCAGTGAACTGAAAAAAACTTCCCTTCCCTTCCCTTCCCTTCCCTTCCCTTCCCTTCCCTTCCCTTCCCTTCCCTTCCCTTCCCTTTTTGAAAGAACTAACCCTAAATAGAGAAGAAAAAGGACACTCAGGATTTTTGTGGATGTAGACATTTCAAGAGGTTTTTCCTTTTTTAGGTGAGGGGAAAATTAAAATAAAAATAGTATAACTCCTTCCCTTATTCAATCATTTTTAATACCAGAGTCTTAAAATCTGGTTTGGAAGATTAACATCCACTACAGAAATATCTAAGCATGATTTTTTTTTTTGCACTGGTCCTGGATAAGTGACAGTAACACCCTCCTGAATATTTTTCCAATACATGGAAGGCTGTTGATTGCCAGTTCATAGATGCTGGGGCCATTTTGTTTGTTCCTTAAGATTGTGTTAATGTTGCTGCCATCTCACAGTAAAACACCATGCTGTTGCTAACTAAAAATTCACTGCAACACTCAATTATTGAAAAACAGTTTCAGAAATTTTTCTGATTCATGAACGTAGCTGTGCTGATTAGGGGTAGTAGCAACACAACCATAGCCAGCTTCCTCCCTGTCAATAAATCTGTTGTTTCAGTCTGGGTGAGTAACATGATCTAGCTTCTGATATTATTCTGTTGTTTGGCACAGTAATGTTTGCACTCAGGTGTAATGTGAACCTGCTGCTGATGGTCAGTGAAAGCGATGCCAACCTATGTTTTGGTCAGCTTCTTGTTGTGCGTCTTGCTCCAACAAACTGTTTACCTTTGTAATGTATGTCATGTAGTCAATGCTTTTTTGAGTTTTGGTTTTTATTTTTTAGATTGGAAAAAATAGATTCTGATCTCAACACCGTGAAAACTGCCTGTAATTTAGTTAGAGCCATTGGAGCTACATTGCCCTGAAGGATTAACCTGTGGTTTAATTTACACAGCAGTAATGATCCTGCAATTCCATTCACTTTTTCAGCATTAGGAGGACAGCAGGAGGACAGAAGTTTCCAGCTCCTTGCTCAGGCTTCCTGTTGCATAGATGGCCTAGGATTTGTAGCTGCCTCTTATCTCAGTGACTCCTCGTCTCTCTAAATCTGCCGTGATGACTTTGGGGTCCTCTTGATAGCCCATTAAAATGTATGCTGCATCTTACATTCAAGTTGGAGAGGATGTTTTCCTCTTCAGATTTTAAGAGCTGTTCATTGCATATGACTATCATGTGGTTGTTCATTCCTTCCTCTTAGGTGTTTTCACCTTTTCCTGTAGCTTCAGCTTGCATTTGATGAACTATGATGTCTTCCGGGGATTTCCATTTCTTTTGCATTGAAAGTGTCTTTCGAGCCACTGTGATATTCTAAACAAACAACAAATTAAAAAAAAAAAAAAATCCAACATTTATGAGTTGTGTATTGTAATCCACTACACAGCTCTGAACAGCAAGTCACAGGAAGCGGGGTTGGGAAAATCTGTTTGCTCTTCAGCCTCTGTCAGTGTTCAGATACTTCTCTACAGGAGTAGAAGTACTGTCAAGTGCTTTTTCCAGCCGATGGTTAACTAGCATGTTCCGACCAGCCAGATTAAACATTCCCATGTGGGTTGAGGGGGGTGTCTATTGCAATAAAGGCTGTGAATACCCTTGAGCTCAGCTAGCTTTCTCTGGGCTTTGCTGCATTGTTGGCTGGTGCCAGCAAAGGAAAATCAATACAGAACACGTAAATTTGCTGGCCAGAAGTCTGGAATAACTCCTGATGCAAAGAAGGAAGATAGAGACCCCATTTCTGTAAGAAATTTTTCCAGTATTTAAATTTAAATGGGGTTAATTCGGGAACAGAAAGTTCTAGAATGGGCATATCTGTTTCCAGGAAAAAAAGAAAAAAGCATGTATTTCTCAATCAGCTAAAATGTCCTGGCCATATGTATTGGCATTCTGACACCTCTTTCCACACAAAACTAGCCCTGGATGTAAGAATGCAAGTATTTCTTTTTTTTTTTATTTTCTGCTTAAAGTTAAGTCTAGAAATAAATCTTTTTGGGATCCAAATCCTGTTAAATAGTTTGTGGTGCTGGGGCTTGATGGACTGCACAGAAGAAAGCCTGAAAATTTCAGATTTGACATAATTAACTGCTAGGAGGGAGAAAATACTCTGTGATTTCCCTCTTCTCAGACTTTGTATGGGCAAACCCTAAAACTGCACAATCAGATAATATCGGAGCAGTAATGATGACTAAAAATGGAATGGCTCACGTGCTTGATGTAAAGCAAAAGGATAAGTAATGGCTATTAACACGGTCAGAGCAAGGAAATGTAAGTTAGACCTATAGAGGTTTTAAAGAGAATCTGTTCATTTTCATCAGAAACTTAACAGATTCATATCTGCTGTCGCTTCTGTGTGTGCAAAATCCCATTCAAAAGCAGGACAATCACATGTCTGGACACACCTTTTTCCACCCAGCAATGTTCTACTGTCAGAAAAGGAAGAAGGTAAGCATTCACCCTGCGCTCCCAGCTGTTAGACAGATGTCCCAAGTCCCATAGACAAAGCCATGGCGGCTGCGGAGAATAACAGTGCAAAGGATGTGCAACGAGTCCAATGTGTCTGGGATGTGCTAAGCATCCTGCTCTTCAGCTGCTGGATTGATCTGCGTGCCCACACCAAGCACTGAGCTGTTCCAGCACTGCGTGAGTTCAGTGCGTTGAGATTTCCCAGATGGAAGAATGGAAGCATGAAGTGGATGGGCATGCAGAAAAAAAGCCTGCGTGACTCTTCTCACGAGTCTGAACAATAAACGGGGGAAAAAATCACCACTGTCTCTGTCTATTGCATGCAGCAGCTGTCAACCTACAGATTGTGAGCTTCTTGATGGTCTGTGACTGTTCTTATGTGGTTGTTGACAGATGTTCACTGGCATAGGGTTCAAATCACTACAGAAATCTGCAGCTCCGCTGGAAATTTTCTATGGGATGAAAACTGGAAAACCAAATATATACGTGCACACACATACCTCAAACTGCACTTCTGTTGCTTTCCTGCCCATATACACTTTCTATGAAGCATGGAGAGAACAGTGAGAAATGGTTCAAGGGACTCAAATGGTTGCAGGGCATTGCTTGTCAAGATATGGTTCAGTAAACACTGACTAACGTCGCATCACCTTGAAAAGAATAAAACAAACACCTCTCCTTTTCTTTTCTCCTCACTTTCAGACTACAACAGCAATAGCATCCTACATGTAAGGAATTTTGTGTGAATAATGGCTAGGGTTAGTGGACTTCAGCTGTTTCTCAGTTCATCAGCTCCTCCCAGATGGTTCCTAATCCCAGCAAATGCCTTGCACCTCCACTGTTCATTTTTCTCCTGGAAGAAGATGCAATAGAGATTTAGCATTTCAAAATGGATGAGCCACTTTGAATCACACTGAAATCAGCTATCCAATTTTAGCCTTGTCAACCTTTAATCACAACACACAGCATTTTCTTTTGCTCCCTCCCCGTTATATACTGTATCATGTCTTTCATAAATGCTAAGAGAAACAGGGTAATCACTTTTAGTTCCTCCTCCAGGGTCAGCAAATCACAGCTGACTCAAGTGTATCTGGTTCTTGTCCTCCCTGAAAGCAGCTATGACTGTGTGAGAATGTCGTCGTCCAAATTATTCAGATTATTGCTTGCCTGGGACTCTTCTTATATCATGGCTTTCTTTTGGAACTATCAAAGCATTTGTCTGGGGATGTCTTACAGATGACAGGAAATAAGGCAAAGGTCTTGTCCCAGGTCCAGATCCCAGGTCTGGACTGTGATGTCCCAGCCATTGCCTTGCACGAGGTGGGATAGCAGAGAAGCCTGTTTCCCAGGAGTTGTGACTAGCTTTTACTATTGAGTGAGTCCCAGCATGTATCTTAGCAGATAGGGATTTACTGCTCTCTGACATTTCTGTCAGTGTAAATACAGGGTAATTTCACTGCAACCACCATCAAATTGGTGAGAGGCAGTGCAATTCAGCCCACACCACTTTTCAAATGAAAGCAAGGGAATGCTTTGTTGAGAAGCATCAAAGATAAAAAGTGGCCATTCGTATTATCAAACTACAAAAATGAAAGAGGAAACAAGTGGTTAGTTTAATTAGCACTCATATTCCTATTATTCATGCTGACTGTTATGAGCAAATGGCAGGTATTTACTCTGCCTTCACTGGAAGCAGGAAAGGAGCCAGTTTCAGTCGGCTTTTTTCTTTTTTTTTGTTGTTTTTACTATCTCAGTAGTACATTGATCAGAGTTTGTTGCCAAGTATGTTGTGCAGATCACAGGCATTCCTAACGTTGTTTCACTGAAATGACTAAAATGACATCAGGAGGAAAGTTGACCCAATGTATCTCATTGTTTGCTTGTTAATTTTTTTCTAAATCAGAAAATCTTGCTGGGCACCAATCAATTCTTTTTTAAACAAGATTGCTCCAGATTAAACAAGAATAATACAAACAAAACCATGCAGGGTTTGCTTATTTTGGAAGATATGTTATTGAAGAGGTATAGCTTACAAGCATCTTGCCAATTTGTCCAGTGTACCAGTGCATTGCAGAAAGCATAGTTAACTATTTATTGTGCAATTATTTGAAGCTCTGTAGTTTATCTAAACTTTAAAATTTGCTGTAACACACTTTTGATCAAGGGGAGGATTAAGATCAGTTCTTACTTTCATGGCAAAATAAAGCCAGCCACTGCTATGCAGGCAGAACTAGGCCTTTTAAAGTATACCTTTGCTTTACCATAATGCAAGAGAAGATTACTTAAAATGTTACAGACTAAATGTAATGTGGATTTGAACTGTGTTTTAGAGCCAACCAACTGGTGCAAAAATAGGTCAAAACATTAAATGCTGTCATTTGGCCAGATCATTGTTTGCCTCTTAAACTCGGCCCTTGT